TCCTCCTCCTCCTCCTCCTCCTCCTCTTCTTCTTCTTCTTTTTCTTCTTCTTCTTCTTCTTCTTCTTCTTCTTCTTCTTCTTCTTCTTCTTCTTCTTCTTCTTCTTCTGCTTTTCTTCTTCTTCTTCCTTCTTCTCCTTCTTCTTCTTCTTCTCCTTCTCCTCCTCCTCCTCCTCCTCCTCCTCCTCCTCCTCCTCCTCTTCTTCTTCTTCTTCTTCTTCTTCTTCTCCTTCTTCTTCTTCTTCTTCTTTAGGAAATTAAAAATTTTATTTTAAAAGTGAGCCCTGTACTACAATAATGTATATATTTGTGTGCATGTGTGTATAATTGACACGTGCTGTTACATTAGTTTCAGGTGCTTCTTCTCTTCTTTTAAGGACACCAGTTTTAGATTTAGGACCCATCCTCAACTGTATTAACTAATTACATTTGCAAAGACCCTATTTCCAAATAAGGTTACCTTCTGAGTTCTGGGTGGACATGAAATTCAGGGGGACAGTATCCACTCCTACTAAACGATCTGAGTCAGCTTAAGTCAAAAGGTTGCTCTAAGGTTCAGGTTATCACAAGACCCAAAGAAAAGCTGAACTCTCAGGCTTTGCAAAATGCAAGAATCAGGCAGACCCATGGCTCCGAGAGCCAGAAGTTCATGATCTTCAGTCTAGGCTCCACCATAAACATACAATTCCATATATGGAAGTAGTGCATTTCCCATAACATACAGACAACTGTAATAAAAGTCTGCTTCTCTTCCGTATGTTTACCACCTGATTCAATTTCATGAAGTCTTATTTCAGTTACTTGGGAAGGGATGGCCAGATCTTAGGGTGGTGGGGAAGTGGTGGTGGTGAAGTTAGAGTGCCTATGGGCAGGAATAGAATTGGCAATTAGGGGCTTAATTAGGGCAAGCATTTTGGCTCATGTATCAATATTAAATGAACCCCTAGAATAGTGCATGTGCAAAGTGGATGCTCAAAAAAATATTATTAAATGAATATACTGCAAATAATGATCTGATCTTTCTCAGTTAAATAACACTCAGTAAGATAGCATTTCTACATTTTAGAATTTCTTTCACACAGTCTGACTTCATCCTTTTTACAATCCTGCAAGGTAGATATTATCATTCCTCTTTTTATATAAGAACTTTGAGGCTCAGAGGGATTAAAGAAACTGCTGTGGATAAAAGCTAGTGGGTAGGAGAGCTGGAACTTGAACTCAGATATTAAGTTCAGTCCTCTTTTAAGGATAGCACTCCTTATTTTGTGATGGCGTTGCTTTGACCTGTTAGCTTTGACACCAGAGAGAAGGTAGTAAAAAAGAAGAATGATGGTTTAGCTCCACCTTTATAGATGTTCTGAATGGGAAGGACCACATCTCAACAGCATGACATTTCCGCTTGAAATGTAGACAAGGCTGGTAGAGGTATTGTCCCTCTCAGCTCACAGGTGTGTCTGTTTAAAAATGCAAGATAAATATTGACCCAACATTTCAGAAATAATCTCTTGTCCAGCACATAAGATCTTTGGCAGTTTTTCTCTCTTCCCCCACATTTATTTTTATTATTCCAGAATGACTTTGTCTTCTTATGTTTCTCTGGACATGTTATTAAGCTCATTCTTTGTGTACATCATACCTTACTTCTGTAGCATGCATTTCCCATTTCTTCAGGCATCAAGCTCTTCAACTGACTGCCCCCCTTCCAGCCCACTTCTCCACTCTTATAAGAATCCTTTTTTTAAAAAAAGATTTATTTATTTAAAAGAGAGAGACACACAGAGAGAGCACTCAGGAGGAGGGGGAAAGGAGAGGGAGACAAGAAGACTGGCCCCTGAGCATGGAGCTCAGCATGGGGCTCTGATCCCAGGACCTGAGATCATGACCTGAGTCAAATTCCAGTCAGACACTTAACCTACTGAGCCACCCATGTGCCCCATAAATATAAGAATCTTTTGTTTTTGCTGGTGTGGTTTCACATTGCAGTAACTCATCCTAACAACCTTCCTGTTGACTCTCTTTTCCTCTGCCTCCAAGAACTCTTTCTGATAGATCCTTTCTTAGATATTCTATTTTCCCCAGATTCATCACCCATTCTTACATTGCATGTAGTAAACTATTTTGTGGGTTCGTGTGCGTGTGTGTGTGTGTGTGTGTGTATATTTGTCTTCTTATGTAAGCATCTTGCACTGTCAAAGAGTATGCGTACCTTGAGGGGAGGGGTCCTGCCTCACACTTTATATTCAAGCATCTAGGCCAGGAGTTAAACAGGATAGGCTGTCAAAAAAAATCTCATTGATTATATGCATAGCTTCACCCGAATCTATTTTTAGAGGCAAGGGGCTCTGATCTATTCTTTACTTTGCCTTTTTTTTGGTAACCTATGTGCTTAAATCTCAGTTACATTCAATATAATATTAAATATAAATAGCTTTGGATTTGGAGATAAAGGAAATGTGCTGAAATTCTGTGTCTCAGGGGCACCTGGGTGGCTCAGTCATTAAGTGTCTGCCTTCTGCTCAGGTCATGATCCCAGGGGCCTGGGATCAAGCCTCACCAAGACTCCCCATACTGGGCTCCTTCTGCTTCTCCTTCTTCCTCTGCTTGCTGTTCCGCCTGCTGTGATCTCTCTCTCTCTCTCTGTCAAATAAATAAAAATTTTTTAAGTGTAAAAAAAAATGAAAGTCTTTCTCTGTCTTGCATTAGCTGTGTAGCCTTGGACAAATCATTTTTTTTTTAATTTGTTTTTTCTGCTATAAAATGGGATATGAACACCTGTCCTGGGTCCTCACAGTTTTGTTGTAAGAACTCACCAAATTCTAAAGTAAGGGATTATAAACATTGTCTCCTCATGTACTCCCCCCCCCCACCCTTATATCTTTAATGCGTTCATCTCTGTAAGAAACAGGATCACTTAGCATCCTTGCTATAGCATTCCATCTTAAACCGAGCCTAGCTCCCGCGAACAGATACCTTGGCTCAGGTTTCAACAACTGCCATTTACCTGAATGCCTTTTATTCATATTTTCTGGCACAGAAGTCTTAATTTATTTGTTCATTCCTTTACTCATTTAACCAGTTTGTTCTGAATGCCTGCCAGAGACCATGAAGCATGATTGATGTCCAAGAAGTAATGTAAGTACCTCAAGATATTGACGTTGAACTGAGTAAAACAGATGTGCAACTAATTACAAAAGATAATAAACGTAAGATATGTATACCGTGTACAGATGTAGGAAGGATCATTTCTGTCAAGGTGGGGGGAAATGTGTCATGAAGGGTTTCAGAAGAGGTGCTCATCTGTCTTCAAGACTGAGTGGATAGTAAGAGGGAAATACAGGCGAGAGAAAGAGCTTAAGCAAAACAAAAGCACCCTGGGAACGGTAGGCAGCTCAGCCAGTAGTTCAGTACCTTAATGCTATGGATTAAGTGAGTACTTATTATGTGGCATAACCTTATGCTAGTTGGTGGGGTAACGAGGCATTAGTATAGGCATCACAGGAGTGGCATGGTGAGGTAGCAAAAGAAAACTAGCTGGATTATGAAGAGCCTTAAACAACATTTTACTCCATACTTTTCCATACTAATGGGAAAGGGTGAAAAAGATATGTGAACCTAGGGCTACTAATTCCTTGATATTCACCAAAAGCGTTTTAGCTTGGCAGGTGGATACAGAACGGGCTTTAGTGCACCCTGGACAGCGCTGTCTTAAAGCTCGGGTTAACAGATACCTAAAACGAGAACATTCACACTTGGGGAAATTCAAGTAGTGAGTAGACACGTGGAAAATGTGCCATCTCATCGGTAATGAAAAAAAAAAAAACACAAATTCAAACAAGGCAGAACCCAGTAAGAAAGAAGACAAAGTAAAACTACATCTAAGTGCGTTTAGGTGGGGCGCCTGGGTGGCTCAGTGGTTAAATCCTCTGCCTTCGGCTGAGTTCATGATCTCAGGGTCCTGGGATCGAGTCCCACATCGGGCTCTCTGCTCAGCAGGGAGCCTGCCTCCTCCTCCTCTCTCTTTCTGCCTGCCTCTCTGCCTACTTGTGATATGTTAAAAAAAAAAAAAATCTTAAAAAAAAAAATAAGTGCGTTTAGGTGATGGGGAAGCAGGAACCTTAGAGAATCAGAAGTGCAGGTGCAAAAACCTTTAACGTCCAGGGTTCGGTGGGGAAAGCTGTAACCGAGAGCTGAGGTTTAGGAATGGAGAGCGCGGGGCGAGAGGGGCCTTGGGCGAGCCAGCAGGTACAGGAAGGGGCGGGGGACCCCTGACAAAACCGACTAATCCCCGCCGAAGTCCTAAACCACGCCCCCTGGCATCTCTTAGCAACCGTAAACCCGCCCAGTCTAGAGTCAATCCTTTCGTAATTGGCTCCCTAACCCACCAATGGGCACACAGGAGGACATTCCCGCCACCTCTGGCGCCCGCTTTCAAACAGCCAGACATTCGCAACTGCGGGCGGAATTCTCAACCAAGCTTGAGAAAGGCGGGGACTTCCGCCGCCTCGCCCCGCCCCGAGCCGGCACGGCCCCGCCCGCCCAGCCAGCTTTTAGCCGGGGATTGAAGGAGGCGGCTGCTCCTCAATGGCCTCGGCACCGCTGGGTTCGGTTGTGACGAGGAAGGAACGAGCGGATTAGAGTCCTTGGGAAGGGGGTTTGTTAGAAGTCTGTCTTCGGCGGGGACTAGGGTTTCCCCGTAGTGGCAGCACCCGTGGCCTCCGGTGAGTTTCGCTTCTCGGCTGGGCTTGGAGCTGGGGTTGGAGGAGGTGCGGGGTCCTCGGGATTCTGGCTGTGGCTGCCCAAGGGCTCACCCGCCGCCCCCTCCTCAAATCGGGTGGTGGTGCACTGTCCGCAGGTTGCAGGATTCCGGCTTTGACTTTGAAGTGTCAGCTAGACCCCAGTTTCTCCTTACAAGCGACGTGTGGGAAGTCCCCCCTGGCCCCCTGCAGGCTGCGGGGGAAAGCCTGAGACCCTATCCTGGGGACCCCCGCTGTGGTCACCCTGGCGCCGCGCCTGGCTCACAGTGGGTGCTCTGTACACGTGTGTTGACCGAGTGCATGTGACGCTGGCAGCCAAAGCCAGCAGCCCCAAGGCACCCCGTGCTGGCACTCTACAGCTTCGCTGTCGCCGTATCTATTTGTTGTGCTGTAGGTGACGCCAAACGGAGTTCCTTGGTAAGGCCGCTGATTGATTCTGTTGTTCAGCTGTGGGTACCTACTTGCTGCATTCTTCAGGCACCTTGACTCGGTTTGTCCAAGCTGCTGTCATTAGCACTGATGACAGATTGTCATCATTTGTTCAAACGTCTAGTCTCTTCTCTACCAAGTCCTGTTGAACTTTGTAATCTTGAACAGTGCATGGTGAATAATTGTTGAATAAATAACCAGGCCTCTTAAACTGATATTGCACGTCTAAAACAGGCTAGTGTGTTCTGGTTATTTTCCTTGTAGAAGGGAAGCTAGCATGTAAGCAAGTAAGTAGAATTTCCTAGCGCGTTTATAGACCAACCCCCTTCCTGGCACTTAGCCTTTTTTATCTTATAGTCGTGAACTTGAGTCTGATTTAAGCTGAATTTGACCATATCCTTCACAATGCATGGCAATTTATATGCACTCCCTAGATACGTAAATGCATACAACGAAGTGAGAGGTTTAAATGGAAGCCATAAGAAAAGTATAAGAAATATAGTCTGAAAGTGCAGAATCCTCTCCTCCTCCCTAGGGCAACAGGATTGGGAGGGCATCTTGAAGGAGGAAGCGTTTTCATCCCAGAAGAGGTATTAGTTGAAGTTAGGTTTCCCACAGGCAGCGTATTCACCTTTCTTGGATACACTGAATGCTGTTTACCTCTTCTGTAGCTGCAGACTCTTGTTCATAGGTAAGAATGTTACAGTAACAAAACTAAAATGTAGTGATTGGTACATGGTGCTAAACACTTCATATTCATTATCCTGTGAATCTTCATAACCAATCTTTGAAGCAGGTACTATTTTTACCCGCATTTATTTAATGAAAAAATGGAAGCAGCGTTCTCAAACGTGCACAGCTGATAAATAAAAGAGCTAGAATTGAGCCCAGGTTGTCTGAATGAGTGCCCTTATTCTTAACCACTTCCAGAGGTATTGAGTTCTTTCTAACTGAAAGTCTTCTGTGAAATTTCCCTCAGCTGCCCTTTCTTTTCAGTCAAAGTTAATTTGTGCTTTATACTCTCCTCTATTGCGGAACATATTACAATGTATCATGGTAACTCTTGATTTATATCATTGTTTCTCTAAGGGACCCTAAACTCCCCATGGCTGATACCCTGTCTTAGATACATCTAGGATATAAACTGGCACACATTAGATGCCGAGGAAAATTTTATTGAAATAATGAATCCTAGAGGGTGGCATGAATGTATCATATTCATTCAACAGATTCTTATTGTGTGCCTGCCTTGTGCAAAATGTGGAGGACATGCGTTTTAACTCTGCTTTCAGAGAGCTTATAGGTTTTTGGATGAGACAAAAGCAGTGCTTTTGGTTTCTGATATTTTGTCCAACTAAACACTCATTGGTTTTTCCTCTCATTGCAAGGCGGGCAAAGAAAACATAAAGAGTAACTACAAAATGAGTACTGAGACTGAGCCCTTCTGATCTGAGTGTTAAAAACAAACAAAAACAACCAAAAAACCCGAACATAGTCTTATTAATAGGTTCAGAAAAAGTTATCTGGGGAGAAAGTATTAACTATTTTTTTTTTTTAAGAAAGTATACAGTACACTTATTTTGTGTCTTGACTGTTTAAGGATCAGTCAGTAAATACAGAAATATGTCATTATTTCTCTTATTAGTATAGTATCACCAAATTTATTCAAAAGTACTTTTACTAGGACAAGTGTTCTTTTTCAATAAACTCATATGGTAGTTTTCAGGATGGTTTTTGCAATTCATACATTTCACCAGCAATTCATATGTTTCACCAGGAATTCATGAGGATATCTCTTTCCTACAAAATAGGTGTTTTAACACTAGGTGTTGTTAACTTTTTTTTTTTAATTTAGTGGTTAAAAATCATTTCAGTGTTTAAATGACACTGTGAATTCTTCATGAGCTTACTTTTAAGTTAATTGAATATTAGACACTTTTTTAAAATGAATTGTCAGTTGTCCATTTTTAATTAGGTTGTCTTTCTCATTTCTTTTTGAAAGCTGTATATTGGGATTTTGTCATGTGTTTTGCAAACATTTCCTTATGCGTTTTATCTTTTGACTTTGTTAAGTGTGTTTTTTCATACGTAATATTTGACTTGTCAGTGATGTCTTTTGCCATATGAAAATTTTATTTTTTGTGATTGTTTCTTTCAAGTTTTTCTTTCATGGCTTCTGGGTTTACGGTCTATTTAGTTTTTCTTATGAAGCAATCTCTTTTATTCTGAATGTTATGGTAAAGTCTCTGATAACAGTGATAAGTAGTAGTGGTTAATAAGTTGAGGAAAAGCATTAGCTTTTATTTAAAAATTTCATTAAAATACTAATTATCTATTTATCCACAATAAGGTTATCAGATTTCTCTTTATGCCAAAGTAGTTTCTTAAGGTCTCCAGTAGTTTGCACTTTTGAGAAGGAAAACTTATTTGTATCTTTTCTTCCCCAGTCTAGAGAGACTTTAGTCTTTTCAGATATTTGCAGATTTCTTCAATGACATTGGGTTAAAAAGCCATTCAAAAGCGATACATTTTGGTCTTTTACATTCTCTTCATTTAAAAATGAAAATACCTTGCAAATTTCACCATTTTCTGAGAAAAAAAGTAGCTCTTTATTTAAAATAGCTGTATTGGGGTGCCTGGGTGGCTCAGTGGGTTAAAGCCTCTGCCTTCGCCTCAGGTCATGATCCCAGAGTCCTGAGATCCAGCCCAACATTGGGCTCTCTGCTCAGTGGGGAGCCTGCTTCCCTTCCTCTCTCTCTGCCTGCTTCTCTGCCTACTTGTGATCTCTCTCTGTCAAATAAATAAAATTTTTTAAAAAAATAAAAAATAAAATAGCTGTATTTAGCAAAAGGCTTTTGAAATCTTGATGTTCTTTTCCAATATTCAACAGGAATTGATGGCATGTTAGTGAACAATTGAAAAAAAAAACAGCCCTCTCCTTTCTTTTACCTAATACAGGAGAAATTAACCCAAATCCATATTCTGGCTTTATAAAATACAGGAAGAGGTGGAGAATACTGTAAATACTGTAAAATACTGTAAAGAGGTAGAGAATTACTGTAAATACTGTAAACTTCTGGTGAAGCAGGAAAGATGATTTCTGCCTAGAGAATTCAGGGATGTCCTTAAAGTCTTTAACTCCTCCTTTAAGGAGCCAGGATTTAAATTGGCTAGTATTTTCATTATCTGTTGAATTCTATAGACTTGGTGTTCACTTGAAGTAATTAAAAAACCCTAGAGACATGGGGTTGTGTGAGTGTTTTCCCCTTACCATTTCAGCTATATTATAGGCTCTTTACATTCAGGTCTGTAACTAATGCAGGTGTACAAGAAGGTTCTCGTAGCTGTTGGATGGAGACGAGGTTTAGATTCCCTAAACTTATGTATTTTCCCTCTTAGTGAAAAAGTGCGCATTTCCCTTCCTCCTTTCAGCTCTGGCACAAGAATAGAAAGGAGCAAGTCTGGTCTAAGAAACAGAAGCTGGAAGAGTTTAAGTTGATGCAAGGGGTTTGAGCTGATGAGATGAAAGGGATGCACTGGGTGTAGGGACCAGAAAGAGGGTTAAGGAAGGTCGACTGCAAAGTACAGTTTGGACAAGAAGTGTAATTCAGTCCTTGAAAAACAAACAAAAACTTGATGTTTGGGGATTTTCAGCATTAAAATTTGTGTTAGTCTAACACCATATTTCATCTATTCTAAAGTGCTCATTTTCTTTTTAGATTTTAATATCTACAAAGTTAGGCTGCAGTTTAAAATTAATGATGTGTCATAATTTAATTGGCCACATCTTTTTCTTAGTGGTACAAATGGAATGGTGTCATACAATCAAAGGCGTGTTAGATCTGATGCAGTGGAATATCTTTTGCTTGTAGAGCTGTCGGCTTACATAAAAGTTTTCGTCACAGTTCTCAGCTGTTAACACGAGGAAGCTAAGTTCTTTATGGTAAAATGTATTTGTATGCCTGGGCCTGTGCTTCTTAATTCACTTCCAATTTAATGGCATTTTAGAGCCCGAAAAGTGCAGGGAATGAGTTGTGGCTCAGGCTCACATCAAAGTGCATTTCGCTGGCATGCAGAGGAGTGGAGTGAAGGGAAGGCAGTATTAGGCTGGGTAATTGATGACGCCTGCCTACTTTTTTGTTGGGATTCTTTGGACATTTGAAATTCTGGCTAGTCACCATGTAGCATCGATTCCTAAATATAATTCAGATCATCAGCAGGCTTTTGACTGTAAGTACTTGAAAACCCACCTCCTGCTGCTGCTGCTGCTGCTTCTACCACAGCAGTAACCACTCTGCAGAGAAATTCTGCTGTTGCTTTTGGAATTGGAACTCTACATGGTACAGCTTCACACTCTTCACTTCTGTCTTTCCTGAGTATTTTTTCCTTGAGCCTGATTTTATCAAGCAAAAGAGCAGGACATTTAACACTGACATTTTTGTCATGTGCTACACAGAGTTGAGCAGATCGTCAAGGTTTTCAGGTGGCAATCATTAACTCGGCATTTAGTGGGTCTCTTTTTGTAAAACACGACGTTTGGATTTGTGATACCGAAAGGATGAACCAGTTTGTGGAGGTTACCACCTTTGCCATATCTAATAAACAAAATTAGTAACTTTGAGCATATTCTTAAAATTTTTAATAAAATAAATTATTTTATTTTTATGTGTGTGAACAAAACTCTTGCTGTTTTAAGTTATATGTTCCAGACCATGAGAAAGGTCTAGTCACAGATTTATTAGCTTTTTGCATTTTTCTTTTTTCTTTAAGATTTTATTTATTTATTTCAAAGAGGGCTACCAAGAGAGCACGAATAGGGGGTGGGGGAGTAGAAGCAGGCTCCCTGCTGAGCAGAGAGCCCAGAGGACCCAAGGCAGATGTTTAACCAGCTGAGCCCCCCAGGTACCCTGCATTTTCCTTTTCTTTGAGTTACTGTCATACAGCTATTTTCTGTGAATTACAATTAATTTGTCAGCGTAGTCTTTATATTTGGAATACTAACCATTTGCTATGCATGAGTTACATATATCTTTTCCCTGGCTGCTGCTGTCTTTGTGTGTGTGTGTGTGTGTGTGTGTGTGTGATCTGTGGTGTCATTTGGAGAGACTTTATGGGATATTTAGAAACCAAGTGTCTTTCCACAGGAACACCATGTCATTAGATTTTGGCAGCGTGGCACTGCAGACACAAAATGAAGATGAAGAGTATGACAAAGAAGACTATGAAAGGGAGAAAGAGGTAGGTTACCCAGAGAAAAGACTCTAAACCCAATCTTAAAGTGTTATTTCCTGATCAAAATGCTATCTTCTTGTGTCCTTTTGAAGGAATTTATAATTTTTTTGTCACCCCCTAAAACCTGATCAGTATTTGAACTTTTAAAAGGTGGTTGAGGGGCGCCTGGGTGGCTCAGTGGGTTAAGGCCTCTGCCTTCGGCTCAGGTCATGATCCCAGGGTCCTGCTCGGCAGGGAGCCTGCTTCCTCCTCTCTCTGCCTGCCTCTGCCTGCTTGTGATCTCTGTCAAATAAATAAATAAAATCTTGAAAAAAAAAAAAAAAAGGTGATTGAGCGGAATGCTTCCTTTTTTGAGACAAGACTAAAACATAGTAAATGGTTTGATTCTTTAAGGTCTTTTCATTTAGGAGGTAGTGGTTGGTTTTGGAGGCAGAGACCTAGTTTCTTGTCGTTTGGAACTTTGCCTTGAACAATTCCAGCAAGGTTCTTTGCTTCAGGTAGCTTATGTCCTTGTGGAGGCAAGCAATAAGCAAGTAAACAGATGAATAAATTAATTCAAGTGACTGATAATTTAGCACTGATAAGTGCTAAGGAAACAAAATAGAGTGAAATTAATGCAACTGGTGAGAGAAGGCCTTTTGGAGGAGGAAATGCCTGAGTTGAGACTTGTCTCATGAGAAGGAACAGCCATGCAGAGGCCTAAGGAAGAACATTCCCAAAACATGCAATGAGTGTAAAGCACACAAGTGGGAATAGACCCTGTATATCTGCAGACCATCCAGAAGGCCGTGGTGTGGGGATTGTGTAACCATGGGGTGAGTATGGAGACAGCGTGAAGAGGTAAGCTAGAGTCAAATCAGTGTATGTAATGGGAAGATGTTTGGAATTTATTCCAGGAGCAATGGGAATTCAGTGGAGGATTTTAAGCAGGGAAGTGATGTCTGATCATGTTTTTAAAGATCTTACTTTCTGCTGTGTGGTGAAAGACGAGGAGAAAAAGAATAAGAGGAGAAGATTATATTTTAGATACATAAATGAGTTTAACGGAATTCCTGGCACAGAGTCATGTTCAGTAAATGGGGCCAATAGTAGTAGTAGCAGTTGATGAAAGTCAATTTATTAGGATCGTGTTTAGTTTGAGTCACATTTCTTTCTTTCTTTTTTTTTTTTTTAAGATTTCATTTATTTGACAGAGAGACAGCAAGAGAGAGAACACAGGCAGAGGGAGTGTGAGAGGGAGAAGTAAGCTTCCCACTGAGCAGGGAGCCCAATGCGGGGCTTGATCCCAGGACCCTGGGATCATGACCTGAGCCCAAGGCAGAGCCTTAACAACTAAACCACGCAGGTGCCCCTTGAGTCAGATTTCCTGATTGCCTGTGATGATGGGCTTCTTTTATAGAGACTATGCTTGATATGATCCATTTTCTCATCTATAAAACCTTTTTAATCATTACTGTGAACTATCTGTATCAACAGGAAGCAGGGAATAGGGTCAGTTGCCCATGTAGCTGGCAGTAGAGTTCGGGTAGAACTAGAAACTGGCAGCTTGGTGGATTTTTGTCCATAGACATTTTGTCTTGTTTGTGCAGTGTTCTTAAAGTTCAATCTATAGTTAAAGATTAGAAAATTTCTTGTAACAAGCCAGAGTTTCTGGCTTGTCTTGAAACATCCTGCACCCTGGCCACATGTGCACATGGCAGCAGGCAGGCTGGATCTGAGCAGTGGCTGTCCCTTCCCAGCTGGCCACAGTCCTCTCACACCGACATGGCCTTATTCATGTGAACTTAACAGCTTTGCTCTTGTCAGTCCTCTGCCAGTTGCTGAAGCATTGGCATTTATGACCCTGAGTAGGGTTTCTGGATTTTGACTGGGTCCTTCACAGCAATTGTTGTGGCAAGGATGGAGGTGAGGATTTTCTGTTACTTTGTGAACTCACAGCATGAGGTCTTGATGACCCCAATGGCTTTGGATAGTTCACTGGAATTTAGCTACCAGGATTCCTGAGGGGATCAGTTTAAGTAATTATTATAATAGACTTTAAAGAAAAAGAAAAAATAATCTGACAGGTGATTTTTCATTGGAAAAGATATTAGATCATTAGGGTATTACAGGAACTAATTAGAAGTGTATTTTGTGGTGAAAGTTTTAAGGGTGACATTAGTAACTTTAAAAGAGGCAGTTAATTCTAGGTATATAGAAAATAGCCCTAGGGATCATTTCTTGGTAGGTTATAAGCTGGGATAGGGAATTTCCAGAGGAAAAGGAGCTCTTAAGAAGTGAAATACCTAAGAATGAGTGTTTCTAGCAGAATGGGAGAAAAGAATGTACAGTCAACTTGACTCTGACATGATTATGTATTGTGTTAATAAAATGTATTTTTGCCTTTTTTTCTTCTTTAATTGCTTCAAGGAAAGAAGTGAGATCAGAGGCTAGAGGGTTTCAGATTTTCACCAACAAAATTCAGGATTATTCATAAAATTAGACTTACGTGTATTTTGTCACTGCATGTTAAAATGATAAATTGGTTAATCAAACCTAAGTTTGTTTGCATATCCAGAGACCATTTCAACCTCCTCAAGCTGTCTGACCTTGCCGTAGCAGAACATTTCACAGCCTTAGGTGGTTAAAGAAGAGTGGTCTTCCTGCTCCCTTGCTGGTAGCTTTGGGATTGACAACTGGGTTATAAGTGTTAGTAGTGGCCTAAGGCATATTGCTTTCTCTACTTAGTGAATCACTTGGTATTCAATTTCCTCATGTAGGAGGAATGTCTGTATCCCTAAGGATGTACTATAGGGCCAAGCAGGACGTATCTGACTCTCGGTCTACCCTGCTAAGGATTTGTGAGATCCTCTCTCTAGAAATGTTAGAGTAATCCTGATTTTGACCTTCTGGTATGAATGGCCAGTTGCTAAGTTTAATTTTGGTGCTTTGGGGGTCAGTTTGAATTTTGTCCACACTTGCCCCTAAGTCAGTGAATAAGTCACAGTCAAATTCTGACTTCCTTGCCATCCCAGCAGCAGCTCTATAATTATGATCTTGCCTTTTCCATTTCTGTTCTCTCCATTGTTTGCATTGAAGAGCGAGGGAAGAAAGTGCATTTAATCTTTGGAAGAGGAAATAGTCACCTCATTTAGTAAAGCGATTGAATATTCAGAGGACATTTAGACCAGTGGAATCTCAAACCACATGATTAGACCCATATTTTGAAAAAAAACTCCAAGATTTTTGCAGAAGAGTCTGGCACTACAATCCTTTCTAAAGTCCCTCAGTTCTAAATGGTGTAATGGTAAAGTTTGGGCACTGTTGGCCAAGGCGTAGCAGAGAAGTGTACAACCCCCAACCTCACCTAGTGTTTCACCCCAAACTCCATTTTCTACACAGTAAACAGGGCAGATTAGGGTGCAGATGAGTGAGGACCATGGATTTATGCGGTCACGTCAATTAGTATTCATCTCACTCCTATTTCTCATGACATACTGGAGCACACTACTTTCTTATGGTACCATTTGAGAATTATGGCTGTAGTTATCTTTGCTACCAAGTAGACCTCATCCAAAGTATTCTAGGCAAACTTTTCCTTGGAAAACTGGCCCAGAGAAGAGGAATTCAAAAGTTCTTTTATTAGCTCATTCATAATGTAACAATGTGATTTTTCAAAATACTTTTCACTTAAGTCAGCATGCTTTGTGATCACCGTGGGATATTACAGACCTATAATTGTTGTTGTTATTGTGATAGGAGTGAAGGTCCAAAGTTATTGGTGAACCCACAGCTTAAGATCTTTCATTTGGGATCTTCTAGTTTGCTGGAGTATACACATACTTTTCTGCAGTCTCCCCAGAAACAGCTCTATGCTTATTGCTCACTTCTAGGTATGATACTAGCAGAAGTACTAGTTATCTCTGCTGTCAAGGTAATACTTTAGTAATGATCAATTTGAAGCCAGGAAAATGATCTTGAGTAGAAACGTATGTGGTTTAAGTAGCAGATGGCGGAGAGAAGCTCACACCTGGCCATGCTGATAGGAGTCCATTTGGTTTTTATATCGGTGCTTCTCTAATAGAATAATAGAGCTCATTTGAGCTTCAAATCCTGTGTTTTTAAGAGGTAGGGTTTCCCATTGCATAGCCTTTCTCCTACTTTTTAATTGCCTTGTTTGATGTAATTATAGAAAGATTTTTGACATTTTGTCCCCACTAGAGGGAGTTATGAAGCTAGTATTTGTTTACATTTTATGATATTTGACTTATTTAGTGGCATTTTCTTGTCATCACCAGAGAAAAAGAAACAGATGGTTTAGTAATTCACATGGTTGATGTCTTTTTTTTTTTAGCAATTTCTTATACTTGATCTGGATTGTGCCTTTTGAATGTTTCTCAAAACATACAGTTTTTCAGAGACTGTCACGACGGGAACACAAACATTACTCTGGCTGACTGTAGCTCAATTGTATACAAACAGGTACAAATAAGTGTCTTCCAGTGACAAATGAAATGTCTTGTAGAAGAAAATTGGAGTGAGAATGGTGAGATTCAGGTTCTGCTGCCGGCTCTGGGGCTGTAACTCTCTTCGTTGGGCTTGCCCCTCACCTTCTCTGGGCCTTGGTTTGCTCCCTTTTACAAGGCCAGATTTGCCTGGGAGGAGCTCCGGTATTCCTCCCAGGCTTAAAGTTCTGTGTCATTTGTGGGGCAGCCAGTACTTGTCTAACAAATGCTGCCATATTTCTTTTTCAGATATGGGGCAATCTAGATACAGCCTTCCCCACTAACCTAAAATTTAGTTTAACTAATGGAATGGTTTAAAAAAAAATTCTGCATGTAATGTAATTCATAAACTAAAGCTCTGGCTGCCCAGTTACTTGGCCCTTTAGCGTTCCCATACTGAGCCTTTGCAAGGAGGTTTTTAACTCAGCTCTTATGTTAAAAGGAAGATTCTCTTGACTGTATATCCACGAAAGCATTATTTAATAATTTATATTGTAAAATATCAATCTTTTCAGTAATACTTATGAGGTAACCTGTTCAAAAGACATATGAACATTGGTTACTCCATTTGCTGCTGCTTTTCTCCTGGGAGATGTATGGTTTGTAATCCGAGAACTCTGGCTTTCATGAGTATTGAAGATCATAGTCTCCGGAGACTGTGTGTTTAGTTAATTTAAGTAGAAAATCCTAACAAAAGGTTTACATGTTCTCTGTTTTACATTCCCCCTAAACATAGGTGTTTTGGATGTTCTTCATGGGTTATTGCAAAGTATTTTGCTGTTGAAGTTCTTTGAGTAAAATGCCCTCAGTTTTTTTCTTTTTAGGGAAGAAACCTATCTAGTAAAGGTAGAGGGAGTTTACTGAAATGCATTCTAAACCATTCCATAGAAGTGTTAGCAATGGCAAATGATCTTGTTTTCCCTAGCAAGGTATCTGTTTAATTATTAAACTCCGTTGACACATAAGAACATCCCACTGAAAAGATTGCATTTGTGACCAAAAAGCAGTCTGATGAATTTGAAAGTAGTGAGTGGAATTAAGTGTCATTTATAAAGATTATTCTCTTTGCCCATGAATCTCTTTGGTAGCCAGGTGAATCTTTAACAAGGAAAATTTATGGTTTATAAAATCCTATACTTGGTAACATGCCAAGTTGATCTGATAATTCTGTATTTTATGGTACAAGGTTCAATGACCAAAAGCAAAATCTGTTTGACAGTGTATATGACAAGGGCACACTTTGGTCCTGGGAATGGAGGGCTTGGGGAAGGAATTTGTTCCTGAATGGCTTTATGAGGCGGACTCACCTCATTTAGCTTCTCTTGGTCGTGAGAGTTATGGGAACCAAGGAATATGGCCCAGCTATGCCAAAGAGCTTCATGGAGAAATTTTTTTTTTTTTTTTTTAAAGATTTTATTTATTTATTTGACAGAGAGAGAGAGAGAGATCACAAGTAGGCAGAGAGGCAGGCAGAGAGAGAGAGGGGGAAGCAGGCTCCCCGCTGAGCAGAGAGCCCGATGCGGGGCTCGATCCCAGGACCCTGAGATCATGACCTGAGCCGAAGGCAGAGGCTTAACCCACTGAGCCACCCAGGTGCCCCATGGAGAAATTTTTTGAAGGTGAATGAAATGCTTTCAAAGTGTTAGCATATATGTAAAATATTTTATAAGAAACTAAATACTATAGGAATGATTTTGCCAATTGATAAGTTCACCTGTGGTTCCAGAAACATTTTGATGAACTTATTGCTTATGCTTAAATTAATTTTCCTCTCTGGATGCCAATTTTGTAAATTTTGAGGAGTCACAAAGAAAGCCACAAGAACTGCTTAGTTATCATACAGCTTTTTCTAGGTGAGAGGAAAAAAATGTACTGTTCAGATGTCTCTCTTAAGGTTCCCCTTAATTGTAAGGCCATGTACTTGAACCTCACGGAAGGTTTAGAAGAAAATATTCTTTCTGTACAGGACTCTTTACTTGATGCAAATATAAGAGATTTATTTTGTTATTTTTCTCTGTGTAGAATGTGGGGATAATCTTTTTCCATAAAGGAATGATGCGTAATTATAGACAAGCAGGTTGGACCACTTTTAAAAGACCTCATGTATTTTTTTTTAGTGAATTTTGTGTCTTTCTCAAATCACTTGGTTACCTTTCACTTAAGGCACACATGTGGTATACTAATATTTTGATGTGTTCTGTTTAGCTTTTGATGATTCTTTTGTGTTTCTTATTCTTTATATCTTTGGGTCATCTATGATATGGCTAATTCTCAGAATGACTTCAATTACCCAACATGAGCAGGTGACCAATAAATCAAGGTCTTGGTTACTAATATTAATATCAAATAAATTTTGAGGTGAAGTTAATTTTTCATTGGGTTAGAATATTTTTCTCTTGTTTAATTTTTAAAGAATGATGGATCAAGACAAACCTTTTTTTTTTTTTTTTAAATAATAGTGAATATTAGAAATATATGATATATGTGAGATCAAGGAAATATCCCCCTCCCCTCTTCACATACCCCATTTCCATTCCCAAATTTGACATCTCCAAAACCCAGTTAACAACTGGAACATTCCTTTGAGACCTTTCTTAAAACAATTTTTTAAAAAAGTGGGCTCCATGCCCAGTGTGGAGCCCAGTGCAGGGCTTGAACTCATGACTCTGAGATCAAGATCTGTGCTCAGACAAAGAGTTAGGTCTTAACTGATTGAGCCATCCATGTGCCCCCATAATATTTTAACTTTTCACATATGTATTTGCTTTCAGAAGGCTTTTGATTGTAAATGTAACACTCAGATATATTTTATAGCTACATTTCATTTCTTCTAAAATGGATAAAAAAAAAAAACTTGCCATAGACCAAGGAGCATCTCATTCCCCCCCCCCCCCAGGTTTTACAGATTATTAAAATCTTTAAAATTCAGTCATTGCAGGATGCCTGCGTGGCTCAGTCAGTTCAGTGTCATGATCCAGAACCCAGGATCCTGGGATAGAGTCCTGCACTGGGGTTTCTTGCTCAGCAGTGACCCTTCCTCTCCCTCTCCCTGCTGCTCTCCCTGCTTGTTCTCTCTCTCTCTCACCAATATATAAATATAATCTTAAAAAAAAAAATCACTCATTGCATAACTTGATGGGGTTCATTTATTTATGAACTGCAGAGGACTCAGTCAACTTGTTAATTTAATGCTTAATTTTATTTATTTATTTATTTATTTAAGATTTTATTCATTTATTTGACAGAGATCACAAGTAGGCAGAGAGAGAGAGAGTGGAAGCAGGCTCCCTGCCGAGCAGAGAGATGGATTAGGGGCTCCATCCCAGGATCCCGGGATTGTGACCGGAGCCGAAGGCAGAGGCTCTAACCCACTGAACCACCCAGGCGCCCCTGCTTAATTTTAAAGAGAAGTCATAAGCAGCCCTCTTCTTTTCAATAATATTTGAATATTCTGATGGCTATAAGTTTTAAAAGACAATATATTGGGAATTGAAGAAAGTCATTACAGACACCAAAATTCAACAAATTAGACAATTCATTCATCTCTTAATCACCGTTTATCTTGAAACAATAAACTTATCTAGTTTTAAAGGTAGAAGAATGCTATAGATGTGATTTATCTGCACAAAAATTGGAGAGTGAAGTCAAATGCTTTTATGTCAGGTTTGGAGTTATGCTTTTGAGAGTGCTCTTGGTAGAAAACTGAGTCTTAAAACTCCCTTTTTACTCAATTGTGTTAGCAGAGCAGAGTATCATATATCTTTTCATCCTTGGAATTAGATGGCAGTCTGCTAAATTAGTCACTCTCCAAAGGGTTTCTATCACATTAGTAAAGCATTTAAGAGCTTCTGGGCCACCTGTTGCTGCTGGTACTACTGTTCTTGCCACCTGGGCACAGCGGAGTTGGCTGCTTGGATCCCAGGGGAATGTGTGATTGTCAAGTCCCCAAGGTCTGATTACTGGGAGAACAGGATTCTGAGACTCAGGTCTACTGCATGATAACATAATATCATGGTGATTATACCATTACCATGAGTTGCTGTGTTTCCATAAAGAAGGTTTAAAGTTCTATTATAATGTTAAGTGTATTTAAGTCTAAGACTTCTGTAGAAAAAAAGCCTTCCAGAATAAATCCTGATAATTTGTGTGGAATTTCAAACAGTTATTAAATGGAGAAATTAGGACTGTCACTGACTTCTCAAGTCAAAGTCACTCACTGCAAGGCCGCTTTGGTTTGGCCCCTCTTGTCTCCATCAGTGTGATATTGACGCTGACTTTCCTGTCTCAGTTGCAGCAGTTACTCACCGACCTGCCGCACGATATGCTGGATGATGACCTGTCCTCGCCCGAGCTCCACTATTCTGACTGCAGTGAGGATGGCACAGAGGGAGAGTAAGGACCTGAAGTCACTTGCACTCATATGTTCCGATTCTATAAGTCTCTTTCTTTTGATTCTCTGTAGGCAATAATGGATACAGTTGTAAAATTGTAGACTAATTCTTAGAATTTTAGGTGATAGAGGGAGAACATGTTAAAATCTTGAGGCTCTTTGTGAAATCTGTGTCCGAGTAAGTGATGGGCTCTAAATCTAAAGTATTGATTTTTCTCAAGACTGCATCGCTCCGAGCAGTTGGAGGTGAATTGGTGTGAGCATCCAGTGCTGCCTAAGTCTCAAAGTGTGAATGTAAGTATCTAAAGGGTAATGACTTCGGCAAGGGTGGGAATAGATCTTAGTGCCTTTGTTTCACTCTTGTTATCTACTAGGACTATAATGAGATTCGGGATGTGTATATTGGAGAGAAAAGTAGCAACGGCTGGGAAGACAATCCAAGTAAAAATGACAACCAGCATCCTGGCTACCGTCCCAAAGAAGGTGGAGATGAAGGCGGAAGTGGTTATAGTCCTCCAAGTAATTATGAACAGACAGATTTATATCACCTTCCTGAAAACTTTAGGCCATATATCAATGGTCAGAAGCAGGAATTTAATAGTCAACCAACCAATGTAATTAAATTTTCAGATCCTCAAAGGAATCATTTCCAGGTATTATAAGAACTTGACTTTCAGGAATTTGTGTGTATGTCTGCACACATTTGCTTGTATGTGGATGTGTATATTTAAAAAACGTATGTAGGTGCAATGATAAGCTTTAAGTACAAAAATCCCTGAGAGTGCTTTTATTCAGGCTCGTGCTGAATTAGTCATGCTGTTTTCTGTTTACGATCTAATGAATCATGGCCTTAAGTTCAAATTTTAAAATAGAGGCTTTACAGAAACAGTTAAAAGATAAAAGTTAAGTTTACTGAAGAAGAACCATCCTCATTTACTGCTGCTTCTGGCTTCTACCACTTCACCATGCTTCAGCGAGAAGCCATGTTTAGGTATCTTGGTATAGTTTTAAAGTGGCCAATCTACATAGACCATCCCATTTAGTTACTTGATTTTGTAGCCCACCACCTTGATAACAAATTTTAGGTTGAATACTTCAAAGCTGTTATCTGTTTTGAGGTGATACGGTAGTAGACAGGATGAATGCTAAGGAAATAAAGGTCGTTCCCTTCTTTGCTCCCCCGGGGAAGTTTATTAATGAGCTAAGGATATAGGTGGCTCAGATATAGGATGAGCTTAGGATATGGGTAGCTGCTTCTTGGACTTTGAGTGACATTGATTTTGCCAGTAGCTTTTATCTTTTTGCCAACAGCTGTTCTGTGTCACCCAATGACAGGATGACTTTTTCATCCTTTTAAGATGATCATTTTCTATCTCTATGGAATATTAACTATTCTGCAAATGTTAGTGAATATTTATTATATACGAGGCATGTTCTTGCTATTGAATATGTACACTCTTATGTTCTCAAGATGTTGGCATCACCTAAATCATTCTTACTTATATACAATCTTACTGGAATTCTTGAGTGTTATTTATGTAATTGGACCCATTGTATGCTCAGAAGTACCATTAAGATACATAAAATTATATATTATAGACTTCTAATTAATAGTGTTAAATGACTAAGTGGTATTTTTAAGCTAAGATATATGTATAAAGTTTGTAATTGTACCACAATTAAATTTCCTAACAAAATCGAGGTGTCTAATTCAGATCATTTTCAAAGAAAAAGCCAAATCCTGATTGTCAGTTTCATTTATCATCTTTTGATAGCAATTTGTTACATCACAAGGTCCCAGTTGTCAAGCTTTGGAACCATATAAAGTGACATATAAACCTTATCAAGCTTCTGCACAGAGTAATGACTCCCCAGCCCAAGAGATAGCAGGAAGTGACACATTTGAAAGCCTGCAACAACAATTTTTAGGAGCTAATGAAAGTAGGTATCAAGTTTATATTTATTTCTTAATAACAGAATTAGTTTTGAACACTGGGCATACTCAAAAATTGTCATTTTTTCTTAAAGTATGATAATGGGATTGTGGTTGATTTTTTTTTTTTTTTTTAAGTTCTGTTATTAGAAATCCAGAAGTGTTTATGAATAAACTGATATGGAGTCATGGATTTACTTTAAATAATATGTTGTTGGGGGTAATGTTAGGTGGAGATCTAGATAAAGCAAGACTGACCATGAGTTTGTAGTTACTGATTCTGGGTGGTGGGTTTATGGGGTTCATTGCCACTCTACTCTCTACCTTATATATTTGAAACTTACCATAATAAAACATTAATAGTTCTTCTCAGCTGCATATTTCAGTTGTTCTAGTTGTTTAAGACTTTTCATTAGATACATGTTTTTCTTACTGAAGTCTAATTTGGAAAATGAAATTGAGTTTTCTCTTGAAACTTAGATTTTTTTATTACTATATAGAAATGTAATTCAGTAAGTTAGCCGTTATCATCTTAAGGTTTTCTTTTAATTTTTAGACTTTTAGTGTAGTAATTAGGTAACTCTGATATGCAGTACTTAATATCCAGAATTTAAACTAGGGTTATCTCGGGTTTAGTCATGTGGCATTTACGAAAAAAATTCCCTTTATATGCCACATGTATAAATATGAGAACGAGAGAAATGTTACTGGAGAGTTGGGAGGAGATGAAACACCCAAAATCAAAAGCCAGAACTTAGGCTGTGACTGACCTGAATGAGTGTTTCCTACATTTAACTTTTGTTGTCCTACTCTCCAGCATGTGAAATCGCTTCCAGTTATTGTGCATATTGAAGAGCCTGGGTGACTCTAGAGTGTGACAGCAAGGTGGTGGTTTGTTTCACATTTAAGAAGCAGGGGGGTATGTCATTGGCTGTTCTGGGCTTGCTGGGCTCCACCTAGAAGACTGGGCTGCCCGCCCTAACTTCAGAGCACTGCTTGTGACATAACACACACACACGTGGGCTGCAGGAGAGCTATGGGGGAGGCCAGACCTCACTTCCCCGCAAGGAGTTGACAGCAAATCAGGGTCGCCTCTCTTTGTTCAGGAGGTTTTATGCAATGAGGTGAGGGGGTGGACAGCATGGGTGGCATAACTGATTTTAGGCTGAGTTAATAAGCATCACACCAGTGGCCTGATATCTTGGTATTTGCTCTTTCAGTTCTACTGTGTTCAGTGATGTTTGTATGTCTGGTCTTTCTGTGTAGATAACCTACGTGACTCTCTTAAGAGTCTGTGTTTTGATAAAACACAGTTGATTTATTTTTTGTTTAAGTTACACATTTGCCTAAATTAAACATTTGGAAGTTAATTAGGTAACTTAATGGTACAGTAGTGCTGAATTTTAGTGATTTTAGCTTCTTAGCCACAGTAGTTAAAAAAAAAATGACTGGGGAGAGGTGTGGCCTGTAGACTGCTCATTCTTGAGTTAACCCTGTTCTAAGTTGACCTGTAACAAAGTTTTCAGTCTTCAGGTCTCAGCCTTATCTCTTTTTTAAAAAGAAGATTGTTTTGTTTGTTGGCAAGTAGAAGTATCGTTCTAGAAGAAAATGAAGAAAAATATTTGTCGTTTTGTGGTTGAAGCACTATCCTCCTCCTACACATCACTTTTTCTCTTTTTCCCCCCAGTCATTTTTAAGTGGTCCCTAAAGTGACTTTAATCATTTCTGAAGGAAGACCTCAAAATTCTTTATTCATCTCTTCATTGATTTATTAGTGCAGCAGTTATGTGCTAGCATGAATGTGAATACGATGTAATTCCCATTCCTGTTTAAGATAAAACACTTTGAGAAGAGTGCCTAGAAATTTCCTTTAAAATTGGCTTTATAGAATCTGATGTAGTTTTCTTTTTTCAATTTTATGAGAACATAGAACTCTGTTCCATTGTAATTGGTATGTGCTTATTTTTAATTAGACAAAATGGTAGTGTGACTCAGGGTTATACTCTAGACCAGTGACTTCTTAAACTTTTCTGGCAGTGACCACAGTAAAAAGTACCTTTTTTACATTGTGATGAGGTCTTATAATATTTACCTATGTAAATAAGTATACGTAATGAGAACACATTTCACAAAATAATCATTATTCATACTCCATGATGCACTCGGATATACTGTCTTATTTTTTTAAAAAATAGTAATCAAAATTCACTGAATTGATTTCATGATACTAATGAGTTGTATCCACAAATTTACATGTAGGTATGTTTTTATCTAATAAATTATCTCTAATTTTAATGCAGATGCTGCAGAAAATATGCAGATTATCCAACTTCAGGTTCTTAACAAAGCAAAAGAGAGACAACTAGACAATTTAGTTGAAAAGTTAAATGAAAGTGAGCATCAAATTAGATATCTGAATCACCAGCTTCTGATAATCAAAGGTAAGATGACACCTGTTGGGTGCTGTCATTTATGAGGTACACTAAAGCTAGACATCTTGTTTCTAACAGCTTATTTTAAATATGAAGCTTGGAGAGTGGATGCGCTTGGTCAAAGGGCTCCTAATGAGTCAGAATGGAACAAAAACCCAGGATTTTGACACCTTGCCTTGGATTATTTCTCACCAGGACATTCTATTTTGAGGTCCTCGCTTTCTCATTCTCTTCTGTTGGGCTGTTAGAATCAGTGAACGTTATTTAACTATGCTGATAGCGTTCTGTCCTAATAAGTTGTTGATTCCATATGCAGTTTACCTTGGATGAAGTATTCCAATTCCCAGAGAGACTTGTGTTTAGTTTGCAATACATTTTCTAAGCCTACAGATTAAAATAAGATTTTAATCCAAGTAAGAGTTTGTGATCTCAAACTCCTTTTGGTGTGTCAAGGAGAAAAATAGTGCCATTACTGAGAGAGGCACATAGAGGAAAACAGTTTCAAGTTATAATTGTTTACTCTTCATGCATTCTGTAGTTTTGGTCAATGGTGAAATTTTCATTTGTAGAATAATTTTGTGACTGAACTCTAGCTTGTTTCAAACTTAATTAATAGTGAAAAGATCTCTTTCTGTAATGTTTATAAAATTTATTTTGAGAGAAGAACTTGTAAACTGTTACTATAAAGTATGTGGAAAGAATTTAAGATTAGGTGAATGTTAAAGTTCATTGCAAGTGCGTATGAAAAACAAATAGTCTTCAGATTCCTTCTTTGATTAGCAGGGATTTGTCCCATCTATGTAACTTCTCAAGTAAACAAATGCTGAAACCATTGTTAGGAAATTTTGTGGTCCTCAAAAGGATACAGTAATATTTTTGAGAGAAGTGGTTCTGATTTTCTCAATTTTTTGGTGCCACTGAGGCATTCTTTTTTGGAACTTTCCTGGTTTTCTCTAAATCAACTGAAGTTTACTATCTGAATTGAACTGAACATTCATATGATACCAACCTGATATTTGATAAGAGATTGTGAAAATAAGGGTCCCTGCACAGTAAGTTATTTATATAATAATTTTTAATGTTGTAGATGAAAAGGATGGTTTGACCCTCAGCCTCCGAGAATCACAGAAACTCTTTCAGAATGGAAAAGAAAGAGAGATACAGCTTGAAGCACAAATAAAAACACTGGAGACCCAAATACAAGCATTAAAAGTGAACGAGGAACAGGTAAATATTTTATCGTGATTATTTGTGGTAAAAGATTATTCATTACAGTGAAAACTTTACTTAACTTTTGGTAATGTGGGGCTAACCTTAGCAGAACTTTGCAGTTTATATCTTCTTCCAGCGTCAGCCTGCTTTGGTTTCCCTGACCTTGGAGGGACGATGCTCTCATATACCCAGTCATCTGTTTACCAGATAAACATCTGCACAGCTCCTCTGTTCCCTCTCATCCAGTCAGCCTCTACCTTCTGTTGAGTCTCCACATTTCTGTCACCATGTCCCTGATTCAGGATTTTACCATTAGTTGCAAAAGTATCTTAACTAGTCTCTAGTCTTTTTTTTAAGGAGTGGGGGGTGTAAGAGTGGGAGGAGGGGCAGAGGTTGCTGGAGAAAGAGAATCTTAAGCAGGCTCCATGCCCAGTGTGGAGCCCAATGCGAGGGTTGATTTCATGACCCTTTGAGATTGCGACCTGAGCTGAAATCGAGAGTCGGGCACTTAACCCATGAGTCATCCAGGTGTCCCTAGTCTCTAGGCTTTTACCCCTTCTGCAAATCCTCTCTTGGCCAGTCTTTCTAAAATCCTGATTGTTTTTCCCTTGCTTAAGGCCTGACCCCACTTTACTTGTGGGATGAAGTATGGCATGGAAATGGCCATCAGATCCTTGCCTACCTCTTTCCTTATTCTTCTCAAACTCAATAGTGCATGTGTTGCTTTTATGTACTTGTATATGCCATTCCTTCTCTCTGGAAGGTGCTTTCCTCAGCAAACTGCTAGTTGATTAACACGCCCTGCTGGTGGGTTTTCTTTTCCTAAGTCTTCCCTGCCTTCTGGCACACAATAGGAGGTCAGTACAGGTTGAGTGAATGCTGTTGAAAACTGATGTAACCTGTACATATTTTGTCTTATGTATTTCTCTATTCTTGCTCTGATACTGGCACAACTATGGTTTTATGGTGTGTTTTAAAATGTGGTGAACAAACTAGTATTCTTAAAAAATTTGTAGCTCTTTTTCACATTTTCTTTTCTAGATTTTGCATATCAACTTTTTATGTTTGTAAAAAATCTTGTTGGGATTTTGATTAGTGAGGCATGAGGCATTGTGTTTACTATTTTATCGATGAATTAATCAAGTTTTGGAGAAGTCAAAATTGCCCAAGGTTACGAAGCCAGTTATTGACAAAACAGCAGCGCCTGAATTTCCTGACCCCGGTAGACTTGCCTTTAAAGTGGTGGCACAAGGGAGCCTGGCTGGCTCAGTTGGTGGAATGTGTGACTTGATCTGGGGGTTGTGGGTTCAATCCCCACATTGGGTATAGAGGTTAGTTAAAAATAAAATTAAAAAAAAAAAGTGGTACATTCTTTGATTAATGAGATAGATAGCCATTTAATGGTTGGAAATGGTCATAAGTCATTGGTAGCGAAGGCTGGTGGGGGTGACTCATGAGAGAGATACTGTTCTGGAGGTGGGGGGAAGGAAGGTGGTTAAAATTAAAAGTGCCTATAAAGTTGTGAGGTTGGTTTTGGAGATGTGTGGCTAGTTCTGAGGATGGTTCTATGAAAGAATTTAAACAATGCTGTCTCATAGCTGGCTCCTTATCCTTTGGGTGTCAGCTAAAACAAGCCACGTTATATCTAGAGTAGCCCATAGCTCCATATCCCTACTCTCCTTCATCATTCCATATCCTGTTATTCTGTTTTAAAACGATCTGAAACGATCTCTTTGTTTACTTGTTATTGTTTGTCTCTTTCCACCAGAAAGTAGCAAGAGCTTGGACCTTGCCTGTCCTGTCATCATGTCCTTAAGTTTTTAGAAGCCTGCCTGGTACAAAGTAGTCCCATTCTTTATTGAGCAAATGAATAACTGTCATAAGCGCTTTAAACAGTATTGGAATAAATGGTCAATCTCTGTAACAGAAAGGAAGAATAAGCCTCATTTGAAATTTTAATTTTTTGTGTAAAAGACTGTTAGCATTTTTAACTTTCTGAAAATTGATAGTTCTTATAAAAAGTTGAATTGCTTTTATATAGTAAAATGTTATAACTTTTAAATCTTTTTATAAATTAAAAATTGCATGTATAAAAAAATACAGCATAAATGAAAACATAAAAGCAACAGAATCACCACATGTACTAATTTTCTATTGTTAGCATAAACTTAATGGCTTGAAACAATGCATATTATCTTACTGTTCTAGAGGCTGGAAGTCTGACATGGGTCTCACCGGGTGAAAATCAAGCTGTCAGCAGGGATTTGTTGCTTTTCAGAGGCTCTAAGGAAGAATCCATTTTCTTGCCTTTTCTATTTCTAGCTCCTGGAGGCCACCGGCATTCCTTGGCTTATGGCCCATTTTCATCTTCAGAGCCAGAAGTCACTGGTTCTGATTTTTCTGCCTCAGTTTTCCTCATTTAAGGACCTTTCTTGAAACATTGGGCCCACCCAGATAATCCAGGATAATCATTTTTAATTTAAGGTCATCTGAATAGCAATTTTAATTTGGTCTACAGCCTTACTTTTCCCTTGCCATGTGACATAACATATTCACAGGGTTTAGGGATTAGGATAAGGCCCTCTTTTGGGAACCGTTGTTTAGCCTGGTACACCATTGTTTTTTCCAAAACTGTAGAGATTCAAAACTTTGTTTTTAACAAATGGTCATTGACAGTTTTCATTAGTCTTTCAAGAAATGGTTGTCATTTTTCTGTGACCCAGCAATTGGCTTGCCCCTCACACTTGGTTCACAGAGCAATGCAAACAGTGCTGGGACCACTATTGTAGCAGCAAATGCCTTGTCTGGTACCCACATTGCCATTATGCTGAGCAAAATCCTCTATCACTCTCCTCAGGTAACTATAGGTTCTTTTTCTCAGTGAATGTTTCCAGCAACTGGAAACATTTTTTAGGAGTGGGGGGTATAAGGTAAAATGGTAATGGCCTGGTGGGTTCCAGCTAGGGAAGTCCTAAGGAACTAAATCTGCCCCACCATAGGGAGACCCTTTCTTGACCATTCTTCTTGAAGGATGGTTGATTTTTGGCATTACAATCTATGAAGAGAGGACAGAGTTAAAGTACTGCAAACATGGCTCTCTTGTGTATATCCGCTAGATGATTAAGAAGTCCAGGACAACTGAAATGGCTCTGGAGAGCCTGAAGCAGCAGCTGCTAGACCTCCATCACTCGGAATCCCTTCAGCGTGCTAGAGAGCAGCATGAGAGCATCGTGATGGGCCTCACGAAGAAGCACGAAGAGCAAGTGGTGTCCTTACAAAGGAAGCTGGATTCTACAGTTATTGCCCTTAAGGAACAGGTTAGGAGGCTTTCACATAAGCAACTGTTATAAATGAGGAAGGCTGGCTATTTTTTGTAACTGATATTTTGTGGTTCCTCATGTGAAAATTTTGGATGTTTGCAGTAGGTGTTTATAAGTAAAACTTAAAAGCCAATGATTTTTCATCAATGAATATGTCCTGAAGGCTTAATTTTGGAAATTCTCTCCCTAATAGAATTGGTTAGTACTTTCTCAGTTCTCACATTACTAGTCCTGTATTTGTACAGTATTTACACATATTGTTGTTGTTGCCCTAGAGCAAATCCATACCGAAAAGAGTGAGTGTTCTGGGAGCTGGAGTGAACTTGAGAGGTTGTCCTGGGAGCTTAAACAGTAGAAAGTCTTTCTTGAGTAATTTACCTGTCAGTAAATATTGTGTATAAGTGGTTCTTGGGAGAAGAGTTAATTTTTGAGAATAGTGTAATAACATAAGGATGAAAGTCTGATCTAAAATCGCCGAGATGTGAAACTTGAGCATCTCTCACAGTCTGTATTATTTCTGCCCCAAAGAGAATAAAATAGAAGATGACGGGGAGTCAGGTGGTGAGTTTGCTTGTGTTCCAAACCCCAGGTAACCACTTGAATGAGTAAAATTTCAGAGTGTAATTTACTTCATGTAATTTTAAAATTAATTTAACCCTAGGGAAGAAGAGCAAAAAAATAAAATGGGAGGGTATGGCACATCCTACCACACTTAAAATTCATCCTGATTTGTGTTGCTATTTTTTATTTATAATAGCTGACTAAATTTTTCCATATTTTAGGTAGAAGTACCTAAGATTAGGTACATAAGTACTGCATTATTACCAGTAATAATTGTATTCCATCTTATTTTTATATATATTTATATGAGTTATGAGATTTATTTTCTTAAATATACTTTTTGTATAGAAAAATATTGTGAGTTTGATTGGTGTGGAGGCTATGTGCGGAAAGACAAAAGCTATGCCAAATTATTGAAAAAATCTTCAGTATTTAAACAAATGACATCTGAGATACAGTTTTATTTATTTTGGCTATGTTGGTATAGTAGCATTAAAGTTAGTTGGACTTGGACAGTGGTCCTTTTTGGATGACAAGAGGGGTGGAGTCTGGTGGCTTTTCCTTGCAGGGTAGAGGATCTCTCCATTCTCTGCTGACTTTGGCACATTACACAGGGGAGGGCTGAAAGAAATTCTTGCTGTGTTCAATCCCTGTGCCCACTCCATTCTGTTTTCACCACTACCCCTCCCCCCATCCCCAATAAAAGGACCTTGGACTAGAACACAGAACAAAGCCTTGATTTTGTGCTGTGTTTCAGATTCCTGAACCACAGATTGAAGGTGTTGACTGATGTCTTTTCTACTGTTACATTCTGTGAATGATTTTATTTTTTTTAAACATATCGTAAGATTGATGTTAGCCCTCTGGATGTAATTGCATAGCTGCTCTGCAAAGTGATGATTCCGAAGTGCTTATAGTTTTTCCTCTTGGGAATGTTTCTTAGGGTATTTCTTTTGTGCTGACAATTTGGGATCAGTTGGCTCAACAGTATTTTTAATAAAAAGACAATCCATACTATCTTAGAATCCAAATTGAGATTCCTGGTTAGAAAGCCGCTATAAATTAGATCAACCAGGAGCTAGGGAGTTGCCTGCCTATAATCAGAAAAAAGGTATGAATATTCTATACAGAGAGGGTTGATTTCTTAGAGTAGCTGGTAACCATACATACATTCTGCATTTTGCCCCTTGCCCTCTTTTTCTTTATAAAGTTATTGAAGAGGGATATACTTTATAAAGTATTTCCCTTTCAGACAAACCTTTTCTTATGTTCCATTCAGCACAGTACCAAGACAACTAAAAGAATTCTTGGAAAATAGTAGCAAGGTACAAATGACTGGATAATTTAGTAGATGAACTTGAGTAAGTTTCTCAGTGGGAAAGGACTACAGTTGTAAACTAATCATATTGTTATACTCAGCCGAAACTTCTTGGAGCTCGTGTTCCTTCAGTGACAGAACTCTCTTATAGCAAACCATCTCCTGGACTCTCCTGTCTTCTGTCTCCCATTCTTGGGAGTGTCATGTTCTGAGGTCTCTGAATGTCAGGTTAAGATCTCTGATTATCTCCTTGATGGTATAAAATCTTTCTTCACTCTGATCTTCTTGAAATCTGCAGCTTTGGGTGAAGTCATGGACTTTGGTTTCTATGTCATAACTTTTGCCTGGTCTACTTTCTAACTTTCCTTTAACCTTATATTTAAAGGCTCCAGTTGAAATACCTTCTCTTGGCTAAGAGATTACCACAGACCTTTGTGTGGCATAATACTCATGTCTCTGTGCTCTAAAAATCTGTTCAATTCTATTTGCTCCCATAGATTCAGCTATTATCTCTGTCATCACACTTGTCTTGCTCAGTTTTTTTTTTTTCATATTTTTATTACATTCAGTTAGCCACTGTTTTGTACATAATTAGTTTTTGATGTAGTGTTCACTGATTCATTGGTTAAGTATAACACCCAGTGCTCATCATAACACGTACCCTCCTCAATACCCATCACCCTATTTCCCCTCATCCCCACCCACCTCCCATCTGAAACCCCCACATAGTTTCTTGGGGTCCATAGTTTCTCATGGTTCATCTCCCTCTCTGATTTTCCCCTTTGGATTTCCTTCCCTTCCCCTATGTCCTCCATGCTATTGCTTATGTTCCACATGTGAGTGAAACCATATGGTAACTGTCTTTCTCTTCTTGACTTAACTTCATTTAACATAATCCCCTCCAGTTCCATCCATGTGGATGCAAATGGTGGGTATTCATCCTTTCTGATGGCTGAGTGATATTCCATTGTATGTATGGACCACATCTTCTTTATCTATTCATCTGTTGAAGGGCATCTCAGCCCCTGCCACAGTTGGGCTATTGTGGACATTGCTGCTTGTTGAGTCTTAAAGCTTCAGCCTTTAACCATCTTGAACTGCATGTTCTCACTCAAGCTACCCATAGAAAAGAAGGAATGACTCATTTTGTTTATTCATTTTTGAGGGTCTTCTAATTGTTTTTATTTTTTTATTATGTTAGTCACCATACAGTACATCATTAGTTTGATGTAGTTAGTGTACCATGGTATTGAAACTGAGCAAATTTGAGTGTAATTGGTTTCCCTGAACTTGTCAATAGGAAACAACATGGTTCAGTTGATTGTTGCATTTAGTCAAGGTATTGCCACCATCGACCTTCTCTTCATGTGTTTTTCATATCTACTTTTTCTTGAACTTTCTTTTTGCCAGTTCTTAGTCTCTTATAAAAGTATTACGGCCTCCCCAGCCCATAAATGTGGCCTCCCCAGCCCATAAATATTGTCTCCCCACCCCTTCTCACACATACATTCACGCTGTTGTTAATGTTAGCCCATTCATTGTGTTTGCCGTGTTATTTTGGCGCTTTAGGACCATGCTTTTCAAGCTGGCTTGGGAATCCGCAGCAATGTGCCAAGAGGTTTGCACTGTTGAATAAACATGGAGCAGTTTCCAGAAGCTTCATTTTGCTCAGAAATTTGGTAGAAAAAATTTAAAGCAAACATGACTACATTATGAAATAGAATGCAAAATTCACACGAATTTTTTAACTAAAATAGGAGACTTCAGAGTCCCTTTCCTCTGCTTAGTGATGCTGTCAGTATCCTTATGAGGTGTACCTTATGTTACTATCCTTAAAGCATTATTGGGCTTTAGGTTATCCTATGGATCAGGTCGCAAATGCCTTCTCTTTGCTTCAAAACCCTCCCTTGATATTCTTAATACTTATTTTCTTGAGGCTTTTTCAGGTAACTTCAGCCAGTTAACTTACTCCTGCCTGTCTCATGCTCTGCAATTCAGCCTGTGTAGTCTTTTTTGTTTTTTGGGTTTTTTTTTTTTAAGATTTTTATTTATTTATTTGATGGAGAGAGACACAGCAAGAGAAGGAAACAAGCAGGGGGAGTGGGGGAGGGAGAAACAGGAAGCCTGACGTGGGGCTCTCGATCCCAGGACCCTGGGATCATGACCTGAGCTGAAGGTAGATGCTTAACCACTGAGTCACCCAGGCATTTCCATGTGTAGTCTTTCGTGAATGAGAAGGGATGATTTCTTCTATATAGGCTTGGGACTAGCATGGCTTATTACTCCTAAACACATTTTTCTTTTTGAAGAAATTTGAATATATTATATACATGCTCCCTATTTTTCTATATATCCCCATACAGTTACACACATGAATGTATGCATGTGTGCGTGCACAAGTGCGTGCACACACATACACATACACATATATCCTGTCTGGTTTTCTCTGTCATTCATTTTTAAAGGGTTGTTTGTTTGTTTTTATAATGCTCACTGTGTATAAGGCACTGCATAGGTACCTTCAAGGAGACTTTATTAAGAAAAATAAGACATGTAAAAGGTAGAAAAATAAGAGAGACAGATTAAGTATAAAAGAAGTTCAGAGGAGGGAGAGATTATTTTTGGCTGCTCAGAGTAGAATGAGCTTTTGGCTCTTCAGAATAAGTGAGTTTCCATGTATTTATCTGAATCCTTGCTATCTTGGGATATAGGTTCCATGGTTCAAAGTGGTCTGCCTAAATGTATATACATACACTTAGACTGACAGTGTAACATGCAGATAGAGGTAGGTATAATACATTTTCTTTGGCCTGAATCGAATCTAGTTTTAGAATATCGATGTCTTGTGATTGTAGAACAGAAAGGACTTCAGAAATCATTGAATTTAACCTTTATTAGCATAATTATAAAAGGAAAAACAGATGGAGAAGTTGATGACTCCCCCAAGATCATAAAAATTTGTTCTAACTTCCCGTCCTGTGCACTTAACCTTGAAAAAGAGGTGATGCTGCTCCGTGATTTTATGTTTGAGCTAAAATCCAATTATGTATTTTGTTAGTTTAGTATTTAATAACTGATCATGAAAATGACTTCTTGAATACTTTTTCTACTTAGGAAGATATTTGTTGTCATTTGAAAGATCAAGTGAAAGAACTGGAAAGGAATCAAGAAGCAATGAAATTAGAAAAGACTGAGATCATTAACAGATTGACGAGAAGTCTAGAGGAGAGTCAGAAGCAGTGTGCCAACTTCTTGCACTCAGGTGGGTGTCCAGGATGAACCCTTGTCTCCCCAGGTGACTAGTATAATATGCAGAGAGAACACAGTAGGATCTGTGAATTATTAAAATCCAGAAAAGACAGAAAAGATCATCAGTGACAATTTTTTAAACATTACTAGTATATATGTATAAAGGTATAATGTGTTTTCATTAGATAATGTAGAGAACATAAACAAGTACAAAGTAGCAAATAAAAATAACCAATAATCCTGTGACACAGAGGTAACTTTTTAATGTTTGAATGCATTGCCCTCAAGTGAAATTGAACACATACACTTAGGTAATTCCCTGCTTCTGCACATAATACATTTTTGAAAACATACCAAAGCTGAATGTGCAAAATTTGAACAATAAAATGTATGTTAGAAGGTGGGTTCTATCCCTGGGAAGTAAAAATGATTATGAAATCCCATTATATTTTGCTTTTTAACATCATCAGTCTGATCATGTGTTTCTATTGTTTTATGAAACTTCTTTAATTTTTTTTTTTTTCCCCTCTCGCACTTAACCTGGTCAGTTGAAGCTAGGGAGTTCTATTTTTGTCATGCTTAAGATTTCTCATGTGGTTTCCATGGTATTAAGTTTATGACCTACATTGTTCATCATTAGTTTCAGCAGTACTTTTCTTATCTGTTTTTATAGAATGACATTAGAGTAAAAGGCAATAAAATAATCACATGTTTATGCAAACTGTCCCACCGACAAAACTGCCCTGGGTGCTGGTGAGTAGCTCCTGCTGTGGAAATAGCTCAGTGGTTCTTCAGGACCCGACATATGAAAGTCACGCTTTGGCACGTAAAGCCTATTCAGACTGTTGGTACAATGTGTATCAGAGTCACTTACTCAGAATCTGAAGGTGCTGAAGTCAAAGGCTGTCAAAATATGTATGTGCAGGGATTTTGGTAGGGGCAAAATTTGGCTTATACCGTTTGGGCCCCCACTCCCTCTTCAGTTTTGTATCCGTTTGTTTCACATGGTATTATTTAGTGAGCTTTTCTCCTTGCCACTAAAGGGTTTGAAAATACTATTTTCTTTCGTTGCATAATATGCCATCATTACTCTGCTTAACCATTTCCCAGATGCTCATTTTCTTTTGAGAAGGCCCCATAAAGTTCCTTTTAAATGGGAGCCTCCCCTAGTACATTTAAAACATTAGGTTACCGAAGTTTCCGAAGCATGGCCCGAATATGGTTTTTTCACATGTGGAGGTGGGGGTGGTGGAAATAAAAGCATTTCGAAAGAAGCTAAAGGCAGCAAGATGTAGTTTTCTTATTAGAGGGTAGAAATGGGTTCCAAAGAATTTTTGCTTTGGCTTTCTATGAGTTGGAACGTTATGCTCCTGGTAAAGGACTCGTGGAGTATTAAGGTCTGTAGACGTGGCTGATTTGATTCATCGCAAGGTCACAGTAGTCCCAAGTCTTCAACCTCCCAGGGACATAAGAGCAGCCATAAGTGTGTGGACATGTCTTGGAAATGTCTGGACCTCTGCCTTCTGGGTCCCAGTGGCTACACCTTTGTGCTCCTAGAAAGGTAATAAATCAGAGCTCCACCTTCATAGCCTCAGTGGATTCAAGGTCTTCTGAACATCGTGGGTACTTTGTCCCTTTACTTGTGGTGTACTCTGTGATTTTTTTCCCCCACAGGCTCCGTACAGGAGGTGGCTCAGCTACGGTTCCAGCTGCAGCAAGCACAGAAAGCACATGCTATGAGTGAAAACATGAACAAGGCTTTGCAAGTGAGTGTTGCCACTTGGAAGAGACTCTGTGGGTAACTGAATTAGGCAGTGCTTACTTCACTTTTCTGAAACTTGGATTTCTCTATAAAGGAGGTAGTTGGACCATCTCCAGACCAGACACTGAGAGTTGTTCGCAGTCTCACCCACACAGTTAGGTAGTCAAGCCCTGGTCCTTCTTGACTGCAGAGCCAGGGCACCGCCCCCTGCCCCCAGGCTGCCTGTAGCCTCCTTCACGTGGCGTGTCCTTTCATTTTTGGGTGTATCCCGGAGATAAGTACATGTACAGGTGTGCGGGACCTGCAGTTTCGCTGCAGCTCTCTCACCTCCTCCTCCAGCGCTACTTACATTTTCCACTGGAGGATGAATTCCAGTGTTAGCTCTGCTGGAAAGACACATTCTGCCTTTTCCCACCAGCAGACTAAAGTACAACACGTTCTTGGCAAACCAGTCCACTCTGTCCTCTAGGATGCTAAAAAGTGCTGCCGTCAATTTCTCAGCTCAAGGGACACTTTTTGTGGAGGACAGAACGTAAGCGAGGGAGGGGTGAGAGAAGCTCCTTACATTTGCTTTCTTCTTCATTTATTCATTTGTTCATTCAGTTTACTTGAAAACCAATGTGTGCTGGCCTTTCTAAAGTTATATATATCTCTCTGTGTATATATACCTCTAAAGTTATTAATGTATATATTAGTTTTACACCTGTGTTCATAGCAGCATTATTTTAAAGTTATTTTTAGTGTATGTGAAGAAGCATTTCTGCTGATCATTAAAATGAATTTCGAAGCATAGATGAATGACTGATTCTTTCAGGTAAGAAAATAATTTTCAATAATTTTTTGTTTCAGGAAGAATTAGCAGAACTGAAAGATGAAATTTCTCTCTATGAATCTGCTGCAAAATTAGGAATACTTCCAAGTGACTCAGAAGGAGAATTAAATATAGAACTCACTGAATCATATGTGGATTTGGGTATTAAAAGTGTCAACTGGAAAAAATCCAAAGTGAAGAGGTATTAAGAAAATCATTTACTATAGAAGAACCTACATTAATAGTACTGACGATACATGTAAATAAGTGACACCAGGCATGACATGATGAGCTGACTAGGGGGACTTGAATATGGGACAGAAGTTTTTAGATATTTCTAATGAAGTGTAAATGTCTGAAATCAAAATGAACGAAACCTCAACTATTGATATTGTACTATCTTTGGTACCGGTAGGCACATCAGTTTCAGTAAGGTAAAAATGATGAAGTTACAGTTAAAATATACAGAGTAAATTCTATGACTGAGGTTATATATCTTTTATTATTAAGGCAAGGACATATTTTTATTCACACTGTGTTGAAGTCGGGTACATGGCATTTATCAGTGTATCAATGGCATGTGAGAAAACAAGCATTATTTTTCATAGGATCTTTCCTGTGACCTTACTTTTAAAATAGAGATTCTGTCTTTTATTCCGCTGTTTAACACAGATACTTCAGCAATCTCATGAAAGGGAGGGCCTTCTCCTCCCTTGCAGGGAGTGAGGTGGTAGAAGAGGGAACACATTTTGGTGCCATTAAATACTTAGTAGATGAATGAAGGACAGGATGTACACTCTTGAGGTACTCGCAGTCTGGAACGTGCTACCCAAGGCTCTGGGAGTGGAGTACGGAAGATGAGGATGAAAGTCTCCCTTCCGGCAGGGAGTTTGCATTTGCCTGGGCAGGGAGAGGGAGACCTACTTGTGAGCAGCTGAGTGCTGCATGCTACACGTTATCCCTGATGAACGAAGAAGCGTTTATCCAGTCATTCCTTCTGCTGGTGTGGGAGAAGGATGAAGGGTGGGTGTGTGGCAGAGCTGGCATGTAGGCCAAGGAGAGCCTTTCTTGAATGCATTCAAATGCCACACACCCACGGGCCAGTCGGTAGTTTCAGACTGAGTTTACCATCATCATTGTTCCAGGAGAGTGTTTATTACCTGCCGTGTTTCAGGTGTCCTGCAACTAAATACAAGTGTATGAATCTCCTGAAGGGTTTGCTCTACAATAGGTTTTAGAAGTGAGGTATTTTAATTCTGTGATTCCATTTTCAAAACAGTAAGATGACATTGAGAAAATTGAAATCTAAAGTGATCGGGTAATACTGTGAAACAAAGTGTTTATTCAGTTCAGTAAGGCTCCATTTATCTGGAGGGTTGGTCTTTCGGGACGTCCGTTTTGACAGATGACAGCTACAACCCAGCAGGAAGCTAGAACACAAATAGCACAACTAGCATGGGCACTGTGTTTAGCAGGAGCCTCCTGCAGGCTCTTACCCAGGGCCTTACTGACTTAGATTTGTGTGTATCCCATGAATTCTCTGAGTTCCAGGCTGTGCAGTAGCTGGGGTAGAGATTTGGGAGAGGTAATGCCAGCGTTTGAGCCCGCTAGCTCAGCCTTAGCAGGGAGAGAACTATGGGAACCGCAGCTGTAATCTCCCTCAAAATGACCGCGGTCATACTCCTGAGTTTTGAAGAAAGCCATCATCTTTGGTTAGTTAAAGCAAAAAAGGTGCATTATATTTTTTAGATGGATGTATATAAAATTTTGAAGTTAAAAGGTAGTTATCTGGAAAATTTACTGCTGTGAATGCCTTATTTCCTGTTCATGCCGGATTAGTTCTAAATGGCTAGTGGAAAGAGCATGGTTTTTAGACCCAGATTTTGTTTTGATTTGCAGTTTCGCCATTCATCACTAGCTTTGTGATCCTGGGCAAGTTTCTTGGTTTTCTGAGCCTGTTTTCTCATCAGGCTTTTTCTATTAAGTAGATTATAGATGTCCTTTGGGGTTAAAATGAGGATTAAAAGATAAAGGACCTCATAGAATATGTTCTTGCACATATTAGGCATTTATTTTTAATTAAAAAAATTATTAGTGAGTGTGCAAGCAGCGGGGGAAGGGTCAAAGGGAGAGATAGGATCTCAGACAGACTCCCTGCTGAGCATGGAGCCCGATGCAGCTGGACCCCAGGACCCTGAGATAATGACTGGAGCCGAAATCAAGAGTTGGACACCTAACCGACTGAGCCCCCAGGTGCCCCACACGTATCAGACATTTAATTGTTGATATTGCTATTATTATTTAGTAGATGATTGGCTAAAATATACCATTGATCCAGTTTTCATATTCTCTTTTAATTCAACATACACTTTGTAAAAGGTTTTTGATCCTCATCTCAACCTTGGGGAAACCTCAGATCTGTATCTTCATTTTAGGGTTGGGAAAACTGGAGCTGAAAGGGTTGAACTCTTTTGCCCAGGAAGAGAGACCATTAGCAGAGAACCAGTCCTGGAGCCCAAAACTTCACTGTCCTGTAAATCTGTTGGTTTATATTTACATGACAATCAAGTCTTTTTACTTTCAACTTCATTCTTCCTTATGTCTTGTATTTTAGAGCATTAAAGATTTAGTTCATCTCAAAGATTTTTCTCCAGGTTGTTGTTTTTGTTTTTTTGTTTGTTTTAATTTATTTTCTATTTTTTGTTAACATATAATGTATTATTTGTTTCAGGGGTACAGGTCTGTGATTCATCAGTCTTGCACAATTCACAGCACTCACCATAGCACATACCCTCCCGTGTCCATCACCTAACCACCCCATCCCTCCTACCCACCTCCCCTCCAGCAACCCTCAGTTGTTTCCTGAGATTAAGAGTCTCTTATGGTTTGTCTCCCTCTCTGGTTTCATCTTGTTTCATTGTTTCCTCTCTTCCCCTATGATCCTCTGCCTTGTTTCTCAAATTCCACATATCAGCGAGATCATATGGTAATTGTCTTCCTCTGATTGACTTATTTCATTTAGCATAATACCCTCTAGATCCATCCATGTCATTGCAAATGGCAAGATTTCATTTTTTTTTTTGATGGCTGCACAATATTCTACTGTATATATATATACCATATCTTTATCCATTCATCTATTGATGGACATTTATGCTCTTTCCATATTTTGGCTATTGTGGACACTGCTACTATAAACATTGGGGTGCAGGTGCCCCTTTGGATCACTACATTTCATTTGTATCTTTGAGGTAAATACACAGTAGTGCAATTGCTGGGTCGTAGGGTAGCTCTATTTTTAACTTTTGAGGAAACTCCATACTGTTTTCTGGAGTGGCTGCACCAGCTTTCATTCTTATCCAGGTTGTTATTAATTTTAATTTGAGCTATAATTAGCCTGGGAATTTGGAAAATAATACATATATGTTATATACAAATAATACATATATATTTTATTTTTTCAAGTAGACTTATTTCATCATGATATCTGCTAAAATGTATTCTTCTTCTGCCCTTTGTATTTAATTAGTACTCATAGCCAAAATCCTACAGTAATATAAAGCACATTCCTGTAAATATCCAACCTGAGACATCATATCACTATTTTAGTAAAAGGATTTCTGCCTCATTCAGCTAGGAAAGTGGAGAATAACTCAGCACAGAGTGAGTGGTCATTGAGATTCAGCTAGAAGACATCCTCTGAATCACAGGATTAGTGAAAAAAGGTTTAGTTTGTAGTCATCCCACCCACCAGCAGTTTAATAGATAGGAGTTTGGCTTTGAGGCAAAAGTAAAAATATTTATTTGTAGATCAAAAATATTTATTTGTAGGAGAAAAGAGATTTGTACCTTTTCTCTGCTGGATTGTGATTCTTAGAACAAGAGGAAGCCACAGTTTTCCCAGTGTCGAGAATTTTGGTTCTTTGTTGACTTGAGCTGCTTTCAAATCACTGACCCAAATATTAGCGGCTCCAAGCTTTTATTCTCAACTACCACCTCCCTCAAGCTACTGCCTAGTAAATTTTAAGGGTTTAGGCTCAGTGTTCTATTTCACATTCATAGAATTTGAGTAGCTAAATCTGCATGCAGCTTGCAGACAGCTTCCCCTCTCCCTTATTATAGTTGGCTGCGAAGCTCAAATAATAAACATTTAACAAGTGGAATGCCTTTTCCCTTTGGTCTTCTCAGCAGGCTTCATAAGGAACTACAGTTTATTTGGACTTAGGGGAACTGACTTCCACAGGGCTCAGCAGGACTGGTCACCACTGCTGACTTTTTCCCTTTTGGGAAAGAAGAGAAAATTATTTTAGCAAGCATTTTCTCTGCTCTCTGACTTGGCTCCCTCTAGGAGTACATGATGTGCTATTTCAGTGGTCAGCATTCAGTAAGAAAAGAAATTAGGGGTGCCTAATTTGTTAGTTGAGCAAAATAAGCCTTCTGCTAAAAGTTTTCCACATCTTACAGCTCAGGAAGATGCATTGTAATAGATTTTATACTTTTTATATAATTCTATTTCTGTGAATTATATTTTTATCTTCTATTACTATTTCTGTATAAATAGAAGTGGTTTAAGTAGATGAGATCTACACAGACATATTTATATCATATCAATGTCCTATACAGGTGTTGTGTATATTGGTAAATATGTAGTGTATTATAAGGAACTCCTTTTATAATATAGTGTCTAAAAAACCCTAATATTTTGTTCTCCTTTTCCCTCTGTCTCTCTGTATATATGTGTGTGTACACATAATATATATGTATATATTTCATTTGGAATCATCTGAAACTGAAGAACAGTAAAAATTAAACTCAAGATACTATTATTTATTTCTTTTTTTAGAACTACCTTTTAGTTTTTTAGAATAGTTTCAGATTACCAGAAAAATTAGTACAGAGTTTCCCTATACGCTGCACCCATTTTCCTCTGTTAACGTCTTGCACCAGCCTGGAACCTTTGTTATAGTTAATGAATTAATATTGACACATTATTAACTAATGCCCATAGTTTATTTAGATGTCCTCAGTTTTTGCCTGATGTCCTTTTTCTTTTCTAGAATTACACCCAGGATACCACATTACATTTAGGAGTTATGTTTCCTTAGGCTCCTCTTAACTTTCCATGTTTTTGATGACCTTGACAGTTTGAGAAGTACTGGTTAAGTTATTTGGTAGGAAACCCCTCTTGGAATTTGATGTTTC